TTTTGCACGGGTCACTTAGGAAATTTCACAGTTGGCCTCTTTTTCATCACTTTTGACTCCAAAACTGCTCCTTAGCCGTCTTTATACATATATCACCTACAAATCATGAAAAGCACTAATAAGAGCATTTTGTCATCACTTTTAGCATTAAAATTACACGAGAAGGTGATTATTTAAGGTGTGATTATAGACAAATTCACCTATTATCAAAAATCTTAATAGATCTTGATACTTGAAAATCAAACACCCATGGTCTGAGTTTTGCATTGCTTCAATCACGTATTATGAAGAGGTAGGTTCTATTCATTACTTTTACAGCATTTTAAATCGAGTCCATTACTCAAATGGTCACTCAACTATCCCAAATTATCTCCTAAAGTCACTTTTCTTTCGTTTGTTACAACAAAGTCATTGAACTATGCTTATTGCACTCAGAAGGTCACTCAACTAGATTTTCAAATTTTGGATTGCCAAATACCTATTTTACCCTCTAAATTATAAACATTTATCTTCTTTTTATTTTTTTTTAAACTTTTTAATGTTATGATTTTTTCGCTTTTTAATTTATATTATGGACTTAACTACAGAATAAATAAATATTATTTATAAATTAGAAATTAAAAGTATTTAAGCATATATATTGCTGGAATAACAAAATAATGAGCATAGTAAAAAAACTAATTAGAATAATTTGTTAGTAATAATAATTTCAGTATTAACAACAAAAATTCAAAAAGTTATTCACGCAATTCAGAATGAAAGAAAATAAAAGTTGTAAAATATATATTCCATGCACGTAATATAAAAATAATTATTTAAATAAAAGAATTTTTATAATATACTTTATATATTTTTGAAAATTATGCTCAATTATATTATATATATTCCATGCACGACTTAACATAGCATATTTTACCCTATGTAGATAGCCCCCTGCTTTCCGGTGATATTACTTTGTGTCGTCGGAAAGTTGGTAGAAACATAATAATATAATTGAGCATAATTTTCAAGAATATATAATGTATATTATAAAATACCTTTATTTAAATAATTATTTTATATTACGTGCATGGGATATATATTTTACAACCTTTATTTATTTTTTTCTGAATTGTGTAAATAAATTTGAATATTTGTTGTTAATACTAAAATTATTATTACTAACAAATTATTCTAATTAATGTTTTTTTACTATTCTCATTATTTTTTTATTCCAGCATTATACATGCTTAAATACTTTTTATTTTTTTAATTTACAAATAATATTTATTTATTCTATAGGTAAGTCCATAATATAAATTAAAAAGGGAAAATCATAATATTAAAAAGTTTAAAAAAATAAAAAGAAAATAAAGTTTATAATTTAGTGGGTAAAATAGGTATTTGGTAATCCAAAATTTAGAAATCTAGTTGAGTGACCTTCTCAGTGCTATAGGCATAGTTCGGTAACTTTGTTGTTACAAATAAAAGTAAAGTGACTTTAGGAGATTAATTGGGATAGTTGAGTGACCATCTGAGTAATGGACTCCATAAATGATATACTGTGTTTTGACAAAGTTTTCCTGCATTATTAAATTTGGTGTGTACGTTTAAGATATTAGGGAAATAACATTGTAATTATGGTACCTATTACTTTCATATATGCTGCTCACTTGAAAGTTTTACAACTTCAGCTTCAATCTTTCACTTTAACCGTTGTCTTGAACTCGTCCGACGAAGAATGAAACTAACATACCAAAACCAAATACACATTTATTCAATTTTTTAAATGATATTGTGTTTTACAATGGAATAACTTTGTCATAGCCTTGTATTGAATTCATCTACCTTTCCATTGTCAGTAGAATAAACAGCAAGCTCTCCTGCTTAAAGTCTACTGAGGTACTTTTTGGCTTGATTTCTGTGAACTATTTGAAATGCAGATATCTCACATTAATAAATTTGTGAAGAAATGTCTTCTGACCGAAGGAACAAACATATACAGAAGGTGCTGTACAAAAGAGGAATCCTTAGTGGAAAAGCTGATTGCAAAAGCATCCGTAGGAGAAAATTGTTGTGTTATTATATTCACTGACGTCTGGTATTTATATTGCCACAGTCCTTATTAAAAGTTATAATCACTGACATCCCTGCTGGTGCTAAAACATGTGAACTTCTTTAGTGGAAAATGTGTGAACTTGTAGCTATCTTTTTTCCGGGATTAACAGCACTGCACAATATGACATTCCTCAAACAAACAGATAATTCTAAACCCGTTAAGGTTTCTCTCATTTTGATTGAATAGTAAAACTGGATATTTGTTTCTCATAAGTTCTCTTTATATAGAAAAAACTATTGTTGTTGTTAGACTGTGGGTAGTTTTGATATTTTCAGATTCATCTCTGAATTAACCCGCAATAATTCACATCAATGCCGCAATGATTACAATTACTGGGCAGTCTGCTGATGCATTTACGATCATAATAACTGATGAACTGGTATATTCCATTTCATTTTGCTTGTACTCTAAATCGAAAATGTCATATATGCTATGCAGCATGTGCTACATCTACATCTGGGTGGTCATGAAGAATAACAACTTCTATCTTTCATATTTTATTTCTTGTGCAACTGTAATTTGAACCTTAATATTCTGTGCCAGGATTGGTTAATCTGACTTGTCTATGTCCGCGCTCATAAGCATACTATACGATGTTTTTAGAGTATTGTACAGGTGGTCTGTCAAGTCCTTGCTTAAACATAATGTTTATCTACACATTTTACAATTATGTCTTCTAATTATATAATGGTTAGATTTATTTCACTGTTGCTAGAGTTGATTTGACATAATAGTTTATCATCTTTGTTGATAAAAATTTTAATTGTTGCTATCCTGCGCAGATTCATATCAGCAGGTACTGCTGGAAGACCATATGACTTTGGCATTGAAGCTTCTGTATTTGTTGGTTTGTACATCCAAAGCATTCCACTGACTTGAAATAATAAAATATTAGAAATAGATGGCTTATAAAGAGTAACATTTCTATGATAACTCTATGATCTTCTATTTCTCTTTTGGACACAAGCTCATTCCTTGGGGATATTGTCACTATACCTCAATTTATAATAGCAAAGCTTTGTTCATGTTGGGCTCGGGCAAAGCCCGGGCTACCCTTACTAGTTGTAGAATACATTGCATGAGGAACTACATACAATCTTGTCATTAGAACTCTAAACCTTATACAGTCTAAGTGATTACATGATTAACAATAAATTGGTCTTGAGTATGAAATTTGGCAAACCATCTTGATCTAACTTCAGTGAAGCTCTAATCTTTCTAGGCAATATATATAACTACTTCATTGAATATAACACAAGTCTTTGAATTTTGTCCCAAGTTAGCTAGCTGATCTACAACCAAATTTTCCTCTCTATTCCTCCCTCTGTCCAGTCTTAAATATAATGCCACACATATGTTACGGTAAAAAAAACACAAATCTGTCTTTGGATTTCTCTTATTGTGTCAAGCGTGTATTTTACATTCTGATAGTACCAACGGATCTTCATAATAGGTTTTTAGATAAGTCATAATTCTCAGGTAAAAAGGTGTAATTCCTGATCGCCTTAGAATTTCTGAGGTAGATCCTATCTGCCCCTCCTAAATTTGAAGTATTTAGCCGTAATTATTAGTTTAGAAGACTTGCGGGTTTCTCTTTTGTGGAAGAGGAACTGCAACAATCACGACTTGTGTCAGCGATCGTCCGAAATCCTTACTAAACGGATGAATTCAATTCCCTTTTTTCACAGCGTACTAATCCTTTCCAAGATGCAGAGACGACTTTCTCCTAAAAACACTAGTTGCCATATATAGATGGAAAAGCGTGTGTTTTCAACAAGAACGCATTTGTAATTTCTGTTGAATCACTAAAAGACAGATTATATTATGTATACCTCTATTCTAACCTCGAAATCATTCTCCGATGCCAGGTTCAGAAATTTATTCTACTCAATCTTATTTACAATCTAGAATTCTCTCTCCCCAACCCTAGATTCGTAAATATTATTCAGTTAGTGATAAAACAATCAAATAATTAAGAGCATGGTTGAATAAATAAACCTATACAATAACTTAAGAAATCGAAATTAATATCCAAATAACAATAGTCTTGAAAGAACCACGACCCTAGAAGTAACCAAACAATATATAAATAATCCAAAGAAACATAAAAGTTCCTAAAACTAATAAACTACATAAAATTAACGGAAATAAAAAGAGAAGAAAAGCTCGTGCAAGCCTGCTACTGTGCTTCAATGTTTCTGTCCCTATTCACAATTTCTAAAACACAATAAAATACATTAATAACAGAGTGGGGTATTATAAATAATAAATGTTGTGAAATAGTATTTAATTTGTTTTTTTAGGTGCTTTTGCGATTCCTTTGATAAGACATACTTAAAGATGTTTAGATAATAAAAACTTTTGGATCCCACTTATTCAATAACAAAAATTAAGAGAGCTTACAAGAGGAAAGAAAACAGGAATTAAGAAATCAAAATTCAAATGCCTATTTTATTTTCTGTCTTATTTGCTTTAAAAAAAAAAAAAGTAGCTAAAATGCAATGACTGGATCACTGATCATTGAATTATTTAGTACATTTTGATACAAATTCTTCAATATTTTTATCAGATGTCCCACCTTCATTAACAGCTTCCTTGGCCAAATCCTTCCATTTAAGGGCATTTTTCTTCATTTCTTTCCCTTTGTCTCCTTCTATTACTGTCCTTACACATTTCTCAATTTCTTCTCTTCCAACAAACCCTTTCTCATTAAAATTAACTCTCACCCCTACACTCCAAACATCTTGTACTAATTTCGCATTCGTAGTTTGATCAGTCCATAGTGGCATTACAACCATTGGCACTCCAAGACTCAAAGCTTCAGTCGTTGAATTCCACCCGCCATGTGTGAAAAAACACCCAATTGCCTTATTAGATAAGACTTGTAGTTGTGGACTCCAATTTATCAATAATCCTTTCTCAGAGGTTTCCTCAATGAAATTTTTGGGAATTTTTGCTTCATCAGAAGTCCTAACAACCCATAAAAAGTAGCAATTGGTTGCTTTTAAACCCCAAGCTATTTCTTTCATTTGTTCATTATCTAAAGTGGACATACTACCAAAAGCTACATAAACAACAGATCCTTCTACTTTAGTATTTAGCCAGTTGATACATGTTGAAGCATCCACATGGAATAGACTGAGACCATATTCAATGTCATTTTCAACTCTATTGTCCAAATACAAAGATGGCAGCGTTGGGCCTATGGTCGACACTGGGGTGACTTTTGACATTGTGTCTACTACCTGCAATAAAACATATTAATGAAAAATGAATTCAGCTTATATTTTACCTTATTAATGTAATTTAACCGGCTATGCATATCCTTAGTTCATTGAAGCTAAATTCATAAAATAACCTAATGTTTGTATTTACTAACTACTCTCTTTTCTAAACAATTTCATTTCAGAAAGAGAAAAAGAAAATTCAACTACGAGATTGTTTGGCCAAAAAGCACTTCTTTTGTCAATATTTTTTTTTTTTTTGGAAATTTGAGATATTTGGCCAAGAAAATGTTTTTAAGCTGTAGCAGTAGCAACTTTTCTGCTTTTGCAAAGAAGCTATAAATTCTAGCTTTTTCAAGAAGTAAAAGCAGAAACAATTTTTTCACGACAAAAATATTCTTATCATAAATTCATATTTTTCAAATTATCCTTATTTATTTAGATTTTCTTTTATTCTCTTTTTTGTTTCCACCATATCTCCTTCTCCGATTCCTCTTTCAAATTGTGTCTCTACGATAAATAGATCTCTTCTTTCATATAGTTATTTATGAAATGATATATTCCCTCCGTTTTAATTTATGTAAACCTATTTGACTGGACACGGAGTTTAAGAAAAAAAAAGACTTTTGAACTTGTGGTATAAAATGAGACACATATATTTTGTGTGGCTATATATATAAATTATTTTCAAATATGAAAAGAGGTCATTGTTTTTGGCAAGGACCAAAAAGAAAATAGATTCACATAAATTGAATCGGATGGAGTATTTAAATCATCATGTAAATAATAAGTAATACTAGATGCCAAATATTATTACTTTGGATTACTATATTATATGATCATAAATTTTTTAAAATATATTAACTTTATGTTTTATATTTTAATTAACTAAAAGTACAAAAATTTACCGAATTCTTTTATAATAAATAGTTTGATTCATTTTTATTAATAATACTAATTGTAGACTGAACCTTTACTATCCTTTTTCGTAATTGGACACTCAAAAAGTATTTTTTGCAAGATTTGGCCAAACACAATTTGCTGATCAAATATTGCAAAAAGCACTCCTCATATGAATTGATCAAACACAATTACTACTCTTCGAAAGTACTTTTTCAAAAAGCACTTTTAACTAAAATCATTCTTCAAAATATGCAATTTTTAGCACTTGGCCAAATAAATTCGTACCATTCAACTGGAACGTATGAAAACGAGTGATGAGATGTGAAACAAATATTCAACTGAAAACGACTAATGCCTTTAAAATAGAAAGAAAAAAACACCAAAGAGTTTTAGTGGATAAGGAATATTGTCCACAAATATTAAGTTTGAAACTAACCTCAGCCTCCAACTTGTAGAATGAGTTCACAAATACATAATCAGCTTTGTCCACATTTATAAACTGATTTAACACCAACTCAAAATACGCTCGATATGTACCATGGATATAAATGAATGACGGCATATCTCGAAGTTCGAGCTCCGGCAATCCCGGAATCCTCACCGGAGGTGAAGAAATTGGCAATGTCAATTTTCTTTGATGAACATAATAGTAAATATAGTTCACAGCACAAGCTTGAGTGAAAAAACAAGCTCCAATTAGGCCATGATCTTTAGCTACGTCTAAAGCCCATGGCATGAAAGCATCATAAATGACACAAGTAATAGGAAACTCTGATTTTTCGTATTTCTTAATAAGATCAGCTAGGGTTTGCGAGCCGATTTTCTTGAAGCGTTCGAGATAGGTGACTACGGTGTCAGCTTCAGCGTAGCCACCTTCGTCGAACCCATCGGAAATGGTATCGATACCAACGGTATTGGAAATTGGACGGACAGAATGGGAAATGAAGTTAGTAATGGCTAAAGTGGTCTTTAGACTTTTGGAGACTAAACGTTTGCAGAATTGAAGCATAGGGTTTATGCGGCCTTGGCTTGGATAAGGAAGAGCTAAAATATGAGCTCCATACTTTTTATTATTCAACACGTCCATCTTTCTTCTTTTCCTTTTTTGGAAGTCTAATTTTTCCTTTCTCTATCACTATTGTGCGAGGAATAAGAGGTATATATACAGCTAAGGATGAAGAAAGATCATTTCCACAAAATCTTCGTTAAATTCGACAATTTATAATATTTTGGAATTTTATCAACACAAATGTTGACTCATAACAAGGAAATGTTACTTGATCTACACGGATTATGTAAAAAACCTATAGTTGAAACCATATATAATATATAATAGAAAGAGAATCTTTTTATGCATGCTGTTACTCTGGCACCATTTTTTTCTTTTTTTTTTTTGTCATATGGTTGAGTATTCTTCGTTAGATTAGGCAATTAATAGTATTTAGAAATTTTATCAACACAAATGTTGACTCATAACATGGAAATGTTGCTTGGTCTAGACGGACTATGTAAAAATATTATAGTTGGACACTATATATAATAATATTAAAAGAGAGAAACTTTTTATGCATGCTTTTGGTTAGCAAATTTGAACTTGTCTACCTTTATTCTTTGTCGCCATTGTGCCATCTTATTATTACGTACCTTGTTTTACAACTTTGAAGTAATCTGCGTTTACTGTTAATTTACCTTTTTCTTTGTCATCATTTTCCTATCTTACTATTACTTCTTTTTTTCCGTTGATATTTCCTAAGGAGACTGATTTGTTGAAAATCTTATGTTTCTGAAACTGAATTAGTACTTCCTTTTGACAAATTTCAAAAAGCTTTAAAATTAATATTATCGGCTACTCATAGAGTAATGTAATGTAAAACCAGCTATTATAAAATATTTTGCTGGAAGAACCGAATTAGTGGGTGTGTTAATAAAGTCCCCACATGAAAAGTAAAAAAGATCAAAAGGAAGCTACTTATAAAGAATTGAATATCACACCATGCTAAGAGCATTGTTGGACCATTTTCGTCCAGCAACCGGTAGCAGAACCAACGGTATGGCAGACTAGTATGGAGATGACCGTTTTAAAGCTAGTGCATCAACATTTCTTTATCTCATTTTAACACGTCTACTTGATAACAGAGCTAAGCACATCAACGAGGAGAGTAAGATATCGAGTCAACATGAAGAATAGGGGTGAAGAGTTGATTATGATACAGCTTGCTCGTAAAAATGATGTGTTCTCTAACAATAAGAAATTAGTCAAAAATTGTCGGCAATGACCTGGTTGAGTACAGGGTGACATTAGGAGTAGAAATACTATTTTGAGGAAGAGGGGAGATATATAAGATATATAGAACAACGGTCCTAGTTTGAAGATAAGTGTGTGAGTTGATGATGTGAGGATGTACCCAAGGGAGAGGTACAAGGGAAATAAAACAACTAAGGTTAAGAACGTCACACATGTTGATGTAGGAATATGAAAAGGTATAAATTATATGATTCTAGTCAGCACAAGTATGCTTTTAAGTATGAATCTAAAACAGGAAGGAGTTGTGTTTACCCTAAAAATTGGATAATAATTAAACTTATAATGTGGTTTTAAGGACACGTGATTTTACCTAATACCAATTGATGAATATAAGAATCAATAATAGAAATTAACGATGAGATAAAGCAAACCAGTGTTGAAACGTAATTCAGCCCTCGAGCTTGAGTGCCCTCGAACTGGTCGGTACCCGAATAGTGAAGAAATAAGCAAACTGATGAACAAGATTATAAGCTAGACAAAAAGTATTGTATTGCTTTAATATGCGTGAATGTAAGGTGATTACAAAATGATTAGAACCCTCTTTATATAGTAGATGAATCCTATCTATAGTACAATTCTAATTACGGAAGTAAATTCCATAATTAGCCTAAACAATCGCCCTTGATTTGATCTGTCCCTAGATTATCGCCATGATCTTCGACCAGTCATGGATATCCTTTCCGTTATTATGCAGTCATCGATCTTGCCCGCTGTCTGTCCCATTTGGCCTCGATCACTACTGGCCTCGATCTCAACAGGCATCTCGAATCCTGAACTCGATACCCAGTCTTCGTGCCTCAGTGCCCAGTCTTCGATCCTTCACCTCGGTCCCAATAAATTAGTAAAATCGGAGCCGTATACAGATAGTCCCTTCATTTTTTGGAGTGTAATGACAAGAAACGAATTGAGGCTTAGAACTTGCCCTCGATTTACCATGACGTAAGCATCGTGACGTAAGCGACATAGGTGATAGAAACGTCCCATACGTTTGTATATCGAGGCATTAAGTGCCTGTCAGTTGTTGTCGCCCATTGTCGGTTCTAAACCGTCATCTTCATCCTATAAATGCGCTTTCCTTCTCTTTGCCCAAACTTTACTCTTTAACTCTGCTCTAATCTTCAAAGCCTTTTACATCTTTTAAGTTTTTCCGTTTTGCATAATCTCCGGGTTTCGTTGTCAACCTTCTCTCAAAACACCAAGTCTTATTCTCTTCTTCTTTCTTTAAACTCAAACCCAAAATGGCGAAAACATCTAAAACTGTGCCGCAGAAAGAAAAAGCTTCATCGTTTAAGCCGATCGGCGAACAACCAGCGGCGAAGACACTCCCTGAAGAATTATTTCCTCCGGCGTGTGTCCTTGACTCCGATTTCAAAGTTGAAAAGACCTGCTCGGTTCCGGGCCGATGTGAACCGATGTCGAGGTATGTATTCACAATCACCGGTGGCCTTTTAAAGCAAGTTAAAAAGGACTGCAACTGGGTAGACAAGCACGTGGTGGTGCCCTCACCCGAAGAGTCAATCACTACGCATGTGGAGGGGTTTTATAGTTTTTATACCTACCCTTTCACATTCAGTCCTCTAGATCCAATCATTATGGACTTCTGCAAGAAGTACGAGGTCACCCTCGTCTAGATTCACCCTTCTTTTTGGAGGATAGTGACATTGCTTCGATTTTTTGTGAGCAAAGTCGAGGGGCTTTCCTTCACCCTCGACCATCTCATTCATTTACATAGCCCCCGACTTTATCGAGGTGGCTAATAAAGCTTCAACGTCGGTCTTCAAAGGCGGTCTTCTTGAGCACCGATGGGGACAAGGACCAGGGTTGGATGGGTCGATTTGTCCGAGTGAAGACCTCGGACCTGATCCAAGCGAGAGCATGTCATTTCCAGAGAAATGGAATATGAAACGTGAGTGTTGGCCCAAGTTCAGGTGAAGTTTTGAAGAATGACAAATGCACTCAGTCATGGAACAGGTCCATCATGTGAGACACAGTATTTATCAACCTATACATGTGAGATGCACGTGAAGGAGATAAGTCTCAAGGATAAAGCAGCAATATCTCCTGAACTGATCGAAAAGGTTGCATATTGGATGAGGAACGAAAGTATCCTCATGGGAAGAGGACAAAATCCGGATAAAGGATAGGGTTGGAGTTTGTATTGTTGTAGGACTCAAATTCGACAAAGGATCAGCAATTGAGTCTCAATCAAACTCTGATTACTAACTCATTAAATAACAATGATTGTTCTCTTTTGCAGGTATTGCACAAACGCAGAAGTGAAACTAAATTGAGAGCAAAAGAGCGAGGCAATTTTGCAAGCAATTTATGTGAAATTCAAGTGTGCATTCCTGAAGCTACTTGGACAAGATAGAAGAACCAATTCCATTGTGTTTATTCTTATTCTAGTTCAATTGTAGTATGTGGTTTAAAGTTGTACCTTTCCAGCTTTCATAGAAGCAATTGTATTAGGTACTTTGAGTATTCAAGTAGTTAACTTGAAAGTGTCGCAACAGTTGAGGCTGTGTGCCACACTGGGATTAGAGTTTAATCCTTAGGTTCACAAGAGTTTTGTAAATGCTGTTTTGGCTCAGTGATTTTAGTGGAAGTTTGGGAAAATCCTACTGAGTAGTAGGTCGTGGTTTTTTCACCTTTTGAGCCAGGTGTTTTCCACGTAAAAATCTCTGTGTTCTTTATTTTATGCACTCTTAATTCCACAAACAGTAGTAGTAAGTACACCTAGAAGAACCAGGTTCTTCTAAAGCGAAAATTGGGTACCACACAAATCACCCCCCCTCTTGTGTGGTATTGACGTTTAGAACACCAATTGGTATCAGAGTAGGTTATCCTTGAAGAGGCTAACACCTTAGGAGAAGATCAACATGAGTGCACCACCTGGGAACTGGGAAGGGCAATCCACTGCTAGGCCTCCACTTTTCAATGGTCAGTACTATTCTTGGTGGAAGAGCGGGATGAGAGATCACATCATAGGGGAAGACTATGAACTCTGGGACATATTCATTGATGGTCCCCTAGCAACTACAAAGAAGAATGTTGAAGGAGTTGATGTGCCAAAGACAAGGGCTGACTGCACTGTTGAAGACCTGAGGAAGTGGGAGAAAAATGCTAAGGCCAAGAAATGGCTTGTGTGTGGACTAGGTCCAGATGAGTACAGTAGGATCCAAAGCTGTACTACTGCTAAGGAGATATGGGACACCTTGCAAGTGGCCCATGAAGGTACACCTCAAGTGAAAATATCAAGAGGAACACTACTGTATTCTCAATATGAGAATTTTACTATGAAGGAAGGATAAACTATCCAGGAGATGTATACTAGGTTCACTACACTGACAAATGAACTTAAGTCTCTTGGAAGGGTTATTCTTGAAGAAGACAAGGTTAAGAAAATTCTGACAAGGGTTCTGCCAGTCACATGGGAAAGCAAAATCACTGCTATTCAGGAATCCAAGAATATTGCTACTCCCAGACTGGATGAACTGATTGGAAATCTGACTGCTTATGAAATGAGAAGGCAAACCATGAAGATGGATACCCCCAAGAAGGAGAGAAGTCTAGCTCTCAGAATTGCTGAAGGTTCAGATCTGGAAGATGATGAGATGGCTATGATCACTAGAGATTTTAAAAAGTACCTGATGAGAGGAAAGGGTTCTTCAAGAGGTACAACCTTCAACAAGACAAGAGCTCCTGAGAAACAGACCAATGAGGGTTGCTACAAGTGTGGTAAGACTGATCACATGATCAAACACTGCCCTCAATGGGAAATTGAGTGGAAGAAAGAGCTGAACGAAGGAACAG